TTCTTCAGCTCTGACTGGATGGTGGGGAATGGAAGAATTTATACTCTTTGCAGACAGCTAGTTATTTGTATTCTTTTAGAGTTGTTGAGACCACCTGGAGACCACCTGGAGGTTTATCTGTGTCATCAGGGTCACCTGAATAGTGTAAATGGGTTCCTTATTGGAACTGTTGAAAGGACAGTGTTGTAGACTGCAGATAAATGATGTCGTATCCCTTCTGCTCTGTTGAGAGACGGCTGTTCAGTTTTAACATAGATGGCCTCTTTGACCCCTCTTTCAAACCAGCGATCCTCTGTCCAAAACGTGGATTGCTGTCTTCAGAAGAGTGGCCTTTGTCTTTTAAATGCAGGTGGACTGCTGAATTTAGTCCTAATGGGTTTGTTCTCTTATGTTGTGCAATGCATTTATGAAGTGGTTATTTTATTTCCCCAATGTACAGATCTGCACATGGCTCACTGCATTGTACTGGATATACCACGTTGCTCAGTTTGTGTCTGGGTGTTTTATCTTGGGGTGGACAAGCTTCTGCCTTAGTGTATTCTTGGGTTTGAAGTGTGCAATTTCAGTGAGCAAAGATGTGCCAACTCATTATCAGACACAGCATCCATTTGTGATCCTGTCATCCTCATTGTGTGTATCTGCTAATATATCATGTATCATGTTTGATACAGACTTGGAGAAAAATAAGAACCTCAACCAATACCGGTTCTACATGAACCAGAATAGATTTAAACCAAAATAATGTATTTACCCAATAACAAGAATCGATTTGCTAAATTACAGTAAGATATTTGCTTTTATCTCCAGCTGCTGTCATTTATTTTCTGTATTCCATTACAAAATTCTTTTTTACTAACAATATTCTTAGTATTAATATGAGATCCTTAGATTCTCAATATATTTTTGAGCTTCCTGAAAGAGATCTGCATTTCAGAACCAGAGAGGAGGATAAAGAGCAATCTCTTTCTCACACATGCACACAGACAGCAGAACTCTGATCAGCCACATATTTTATACTGTTTGTTGTTTGGAAAGTCTGCATAGAAAATATTAGCATCTTGTAATGTGAAGATCAGAAATACTAAGATGGTGCCCTACTTGATTGTTTGCAATATAAAAGAGATGTGAAGCTGTTGAATAGGACTTACCCTCTATAACATCTAATTTATTTCTCTCTTATCCACCAGAACTACTTATTAAATCTTGTCTCAGTTTTATTTTGAATTCTGTCAATCACATGTGAATTAGAATATAGATGTTACAACTAAAAATGATAAAGTACTTGCTTCAGCCTCTATAATGTTCCCACATATTTTGTATAGTAACAGAAGGCACCAAAGCAGGGTTCTACAAGTATCCTTTGCAAATTTTAAAAGAATTGGAAGACCTGGTATGACCATTTGATCATAGTCATTGGAATGGACTACTTGAAAACCTGACTCTTCAATAATAAGAATAAAAGCTGCACTAAGCTTTCATCGTGCAAAGTTGCTGTTCTGCAAAAGATCTATGGTCCTCCAACAGAGATTCATAGACTGATTTTGATCCATGGCTGGATCTGATGAAGAGATGGAAGTTCTTCCAAATCTGACCAATAGCCCCTGAAAGCCCCTGAATCCACAATGACGTACCTTGAAGTGTCTTGTAGAAGATATTTGAAGAAGTTTTTCACTGGAGCAATAGGGCTATTAAGATATATACTCTGGATCATGGTCATCACAATTAAGAGGAGGAGCTGAACACACATTAGTTATGGATAAAGATGCAGTTATAAGTTGGTAAAACTTAAGGCAAAACTGCAATGGGCATTAGCAGCTCGGAGATGGTGAATTCCAGTTTTTGTTTCTGAGGAAATGCTATCAAAATGGTTGCAGGCTTTTTCTTAACACCTGTCCAGATGTGTTTACTATCCTAGTACATCTTTCACAAATTGTAGCTATCAGGTGCATAAGAACAAAAAGAAACAGTTACATACCAATTGAAAAGTAAGGAGCAAGAATGAGAGAGAGAAAAAAAGAAACTATCTACTAAAGAAAACACTGTTTATTACACAGAATCTAAACTGCAGCTTTGTTTCTTACACCATTACAGCATCTTGCCAGAAAAGAAGCTTATTTCCCAGCTAGAAGGAATTGAGATAAACCGTGAGGCAAAGGAAGCAACAGGACATCAGGACAAACAATTGATGGCCTTATTAATGTGGAAAGTTGCATGGTTCTATGGCCCCTATTTACAGTTCAAACTGTTCAAAGACCGTGAAGGTAGCATTAGAGAGCCAGATAGCTTCTTGACCTGTCCTAGACACCTTTGTACCAGACCTTGTCATTTCATACCAAACATAACAGAGTGAATGACCACTGCAAATTGTAGCTTGCTGCCATATTGAATATATGCATACAAAATAATAAAAGCCCAAAGCATGGTGGGAACCGTTTGAAAATTACTAGTTGAAACCCATTGCTCATAGTTTCCAATATTCTCCAATGCCTTCCCTTTTCTCACTTCTCTCTCTTGTTAATGAAAAGCAAAATGATGAAGAGGAGAATCGATCTGTGAAAAGAAGTTGGGTTAAAAACTCTTTTCAGTTTTGAACCAAACAGATATATAAAGTTCCTTAAGATGCAAATATTCTGACAGCTGATTTTGTCAACTGCCCAAGAACCAAAAGAAAGCCATAGTGATCTCTGTGTGATCATTTGGAAGACAAGAACTACTTAGCAATAGCAGAAAACCAATACTCAAAGATTGATGAATAACATAAATAGTTTTCTAGGTGAGTATGTTTATAATTAGCATAACTATCCATTGAAAAAGGAAGTATATACCCAGAGGCAAAATTTGTGAATACTTCATGGTGTTCTAGAGGAAACCATAACAAAAATATTATAAAATGAGGATGGAATCACAAAGCTCACTAGAGGACATCTGATCCAGGTCATCCACCTCATTGCATGATATTTTGTTCAAGTCCCAGACCAGTGGCTGAACAGCCTATTGTATTATGTATGTAAAAAGGAATATATATGTGAATGAAGACTGTTAACAGAAATCCAATAAAATCTGTTACTTTATGCTGAACTTACATTAGTTACTGAATTTACTCATCTTAGTCCTGATCCCTAAGTACAGCTGCCCAAAGATGCTCAAGTTTGACCCATAGATTTCTGTTCTGTAACAATGGAAAGGAATTGAAAGGAAAGTAGATATTTTGTATTAGAATGCACACAGTGGAGATGGACTCCTATAGCTGTGCATTCTTAATTATAAAAAATTTGCAATAAAACCTCCTCACAGATTGTCTATGCATGATGCACAGAGGATTGACTGAGGAGATAAACTTTGATCAACAATCCGGTCCTCAAACAGAATGAGAAAATAACAAGTTATTAACTAATTGATATCAGCTTATTTCTGAAATAGTATAAATTTGAAAAAGTATAAAAAAAACTTACAGTACTGATAGCTTGCATGAGAATAGGTAATAATCCAAAACCTTCTGTTCTAAGCAGATGAAGCATAGCCCTAAAATATTTGTGTTTTGACACTCTTGTGTTATTCTTATTCTTTTCTTTAAATTAAATAAACCAATTAATTCCTTTGCATTACAAGAACAGAATTGTTAGAAATCTAAAAGGATTTTGCATTGGTATTTGGCAAATTTACATCAGAGATGCAACTTTTATATTTGGCAAAATATCTGTTGAGATACGTTTATTGAACAGATATTCCCATAAATAAATGAAACATCTTCAAGGTGTCTGAAGATGCTCTTTTAGCCCAACTTTTCTACAATAAACCCTATTCATTCTTTAAATTCCAAGCAGGTAGAAAACAATTAACTATGTTAGATTTGCTTTTATTTTGTTTTAATTGTTTTCATGTTCCCTTGCTTTTCCCTTACACAATAGTCTTATTTGTATACATTAGGTAGGTTCACTTTGCTTTAATAAGCAATGATGTTGTTTATATAATTTTGACTTAGATGAAATATGTAAAGCAGACATAAGTTGATTACAAATCTCTTCTCTCTCATACAAACACTCCTAGTTTAGTATTAAACTTGAATTCAGCTCCTGACATTTGGCTTCACCATTTAAATTTATGTAATTTCTCACAGTTTTCCTAATTTTTCTAACCCCTTAAAATAATTCAGAACCCACTTCACTTACAGTAGCAACCCACTTAAGGTCTCACTTTTTGGATTCTTAGAATAGAGTGAATCACAAACTAGTCAACCAAATTTTAGTCTAAGGAGTTGTGAGAAACCAGCCAAATGGGCAGCTTATAGTTCAGTGTATATGGAAATCCAAAAAAAAACACCCCGGAGTAAATATTTCTGAATTAATAACCTAAGCATGCTATGCAGATGTAGACATTCTTAGCATTGTGTGTGGTATTCCTATGTTGCATTAAGATATAACATGGTTTATTTGGTTTTGGATTAGCAGCATGCTTTTTAAACTCAGCAGTGGTTGAACAAACAATGGCTTAGCCTAAAATATATCTGGCATGACTGAGTTCAGTTTACTATTCTACTTTGATTTTAGTATATGTTGTTCATATCCAGCCATTGATTTATGGCTCAGAAAATCGGACAATTAAACAAGCCATATAGGAAGTTACACGATCCCAAACCAGCGGGTCTAAAATGCACTTATCAGGCTTGATGTAAGCTTACAACAAGTGGGATTTATTTATCACTAAATATTCCAAAACACGCATGACATTAACTAAAGAATAAGCAATAAAAGGAAAATAAAAGCATGGAAGTTTATATTCATGTACTGGATAATTGGTGACAGTTATAATGTACTAAATGTAATAAATAAATAAATAAATAAATCCATGTGGCGAAACTGATTTCGCTTCATAAATGCCAGTTTGAAAACACTAGCGCGAGCCAGTACGAACAAAAATCGGTTGGTAGATTAGACTCCGCCCCCAATAAACGGGCGGGTGACATCCCGGCCCCTAGAACGTCAAATCCTCGGGAGCCAATGAAACGCCGCGCTGGGCCCAGCGCCCGACCGTAATGCTGTAGTTCTTCAGCCGCACGTGATAATGTTCCTCAGTGGCAGCCGCGGAACTAGGAAGCGGACGGTTTCTTTGTCGTCTTCCTCGGCAGCTATGGGCTCGGCCACTCTTCTGCTGATGCTGCCCGGCGTCTTGCTGGGCCTATGTGCCGGAGAGAGCCTCATCCCCGGCCGACATTTGTGGTTTGGAAGACCTAGTGGTTTGGAAGACCTATTTTTGGGAGGCCGGCACCCCTCTTGGCCCTGGGCCCTGGAGGACCTGTCTTCGCTCGAATCGGGGTTCTTAGGGGTTCTGCAGGAGCCGCAGCTGGATCCAGAGTGCAAGGAGCTCTTGAATGCCTTCGCCAATAGCAGCCTAAGATTGGCTAGCTGCTTAATCCAGAGCGCCCGGCCTGTGACGCTCTGCCAGAACTGCTATCGCCAATTCGGGGAAGTCATGCAGCAGTTCGAAAACATCGAGGTGCGTGGATCGGGTTCCTTAAAACACTGGGCTCAAGCGGTAGACTCTTTCAGTTTCTCCCGGAACATGGAAGCAGTCCCACTACTGTCCCGCAAGTACTGCTGTTGAAGCAATAAAAGATTCTTGTGGTGCCTTGTAACATTTGTTGCTTTTGTGGATTGCTGTTGCATCCAATGAAGTGGGGGGTGGGGGGCTCTACTTATCTATGTTGATTAGACTCTACCGTATAAAGGGTCCCCAAGGCTAGTTGTGCAGCTGCCACCGAGAATCGTGGCAGTCTTTGGGAAATTATAATTTGATTTGTTTGTTTTGGAGGCTAATGCTTGGGATAACACCGTGTGCTTTGTCTAAAAACACTGCCTATGGGGTTTTCAAAATTGTAGTGGTGGAACGTTTTTATCTGGGGCGGGTGGGGAGGCTCGTCCCTTATTACTGTGGAATAAAACCTGGAGCCTGCTTCCTGTGGCTGATGGGAGAGGGAACTCGTGAAACAAGTGGGAGCTACAGTCAACCTATATAGCCTACCTTAGAGTAGAGAGGTTCTTTCTGGGATGCAAATTAAGAGTTTGCTTTCCTTGTCAGTGGGATTGCTCATAAGCATCTCTATCTTTGCAGCAAGGCGAACTAGTTGGCGTTATCTTTTGATAATATGTCTGGGCAGTGGTCAAGTTGTGGAGATTGATGCTTGGATAGTCAATTTCTTTCCCCTCCTCAGCAAGTGACAGCATCTGGCTGAAGTTGGCTGATCTGCAAAGATGAGCAGTGTCAGGCCTGCTTAGTAATTGGATAGGTAGGAGGACATCAGAGGAGACTAGGCTACATTTGGAAGATGAAAAATACAATGACCAACCTCTTCCTTATCGTGCCAAAATGCCCTGTGCCCATATAAGCGTATAAGTCACTGGGAATGTGACTGAAAGGATAATTAGTTTAGGTAAACTTTGAATTTGCCATTTTCCATATTCATATAAAATAGGCAAAGGCTTGCAATGATCTATCCACATGTTTATTCTCTGGCTTACAAATCCCAGACAGGCACAAAAAACTCAATTACTGAATCCTTCATGGATCATCATGCAGGGTATTCAGTCTGGTGTCTACAAACTCTGAAAAATTAGAAATAAATCAACTGACCTAAAGGCTTGACTGAATCTGAAAAAAAAATCACATTGTCACTTTAAATTAAATTCAAAGGATAGAAGTATGCGGTCCATCATATGATTTTTTTCACATGTTAAAATGACAGAAATAGAAAATATGCAAGAACTGATTGGAATGGAATGTTCTCTTGCATTGCAGCTTGTAAATAGAGTTAATCAAATTGATGCAAATGCTTTTATTAATCAAGGATGGCTCAACTTCTCTTCCACTTACAGACCTGGTCTGGGTCGAGGTGACTTTCTAAAACAGATTTGGGAATTGTGTGGGAATTGGATGAAAGAGAATTCATTTGTATGAGTGGACCCACTTGGGCATTGATGAATTTTATCTCAGAATATTTTCATCAGCAAAATGTTTTCAGAACATCTCTTTGTTTATAGAAAAAAAATCACAAAAATATTTTCAAAATGTATGGATTTGATATCCAAGTTACAAGAATGTCCCAAATGTGCTTTTTCAAGAGGTAGCTGGACTTTCTTGTTCCAGTTGCCTCTTGAAAATACAGCTTTGAGACAATCATGACCTGGATGACTGAGAATCTCCATAGACATTAAGTTACAAGAATGTAGATATCTGGTGAAATAAATGATCTCTCAGCTTGTCATTTATATATTATAAAAAGACAAAGATATCTAGTGGAGAAACTTAACAGATGTTCTCAGCAACTGGTGGACTTCCTTTGAGAGAGCTGTTTCAGTTTCTGAACAATTTAATTGGGAAAAGATGCCAGGGCATCTTTTATGCCATTTATTTGGATAGTACATGTATGTCCCAGTTTTATTAGGAAGATAACATGTTTACAATGCAACACTATATTTACTCAGAAATAATGATTTCTAACTCAGTGGGGCCTTCTCCAGTGGAAAGCTAGTTTATATAGGTTTGTAGCTTTAAAATGCAATCCTACAATACCATAGGTAATATATACTTGATTTCTGGATCTGCTAGCAAATGATTTCTATATGTGTATTTTCTCCTTTCAGAATACTACTAAGACTAACCGATGTGCCCAAAGTCTCTTGATGTCAGACAGGCTGCAGATGGTTGCGCTTGTGAACAAGTTTTTTAATGACACATGGATAAAAGCTAGCTGTTCAAGTATGTACTCTTTTTGTCTGCTTTCTTGTCTATATTTGAATATTCAAGATGAATAAAAGACAGTATATATTTTTCTACTTTTTAAAAGCTATTTATGAAGATAATACATAACACCTCAATATGCATGCTTCTTCTCTGGTATTAGTTTCAATATAAGAGATAATGGTTCCGAGAGCTAAGTAATTGTGTGTTCATTGTTCTCAATTTCTACAAATCCTGATTGGGTTCATATACTTCTGCCCTGGATAAGCATATTACAATTTATTTATTTGAGCCCATAGAACACACACAGAATAGTTTATAATTCACAGCAGCTGAGTTTATACAATATACTAAGCTAAAGCCAACCAAACATTGTAGCAAAACCAAAGTATAATAAAGATCTTATTTCTGGAATGAGATGTGAGGAATGGACCAGGTGAAGAGGTGCAGGTGAACAGAGAACATGGCAATCCACCATGCTTATATGATAAGTCTGTGTTTCTTTTGATGGAATGGCATATCCTTTTTAATGAGGTGTATAGTATGTGCTGGATTAGTCATACCTGTATTGCTTTTATTAGTTAAATGAACTGATTGATATTTTTGTTACATATTCATGTATTGCTTTTATTAGTTAAATGAACTGATTGATATTTTTGTTACATATTCAGCGACACTATGTATTTCTCAATTGTTACTTTCATTCTATTCATTAAAATAGGAAGGGAAATTACAAGAGATGATGATGATTGAGGAAATATCTAAAATAATGTGCTGTTCATCATTGTTTAAAACCCTTAAGCTTGCATCATGTGTGTATACACACATACACACAGTATATATGTATACATATGTAGATACATAGAATATGTGTGTAGGAAAAGTGAGAAAAAAGGGGAAATACAGTATTTTACATAAATGTTTTGATAAACGTGTATGTCGGGTGTCAAACTCATGTCATCACGGGGTTGTCACGTGACTTATCGGGACTTTTCCCCCCTTCTCTAAACTGGGTGTGGGCGTTGCCAGCGCATGATGCATCTGGGCCATAGGCCATGAGTTTGACAACCCTGATGTATGTGTATGGGCTTTATTGATGTTTATACATTATGTTCACTGCCTAGAGTTTGTAGGGTGGACCCATAGATTTGAGAAATAAATAGGACAATTAATGCATGTGGTTAAGGTATGAGGTAGGAAATCATGAGACTATGAGTTCTAGTTCTGCCTAAGGCAGGGGTCCTCAAACTATGGCCCGGGGGCCAGATACGACCCCCCAAAGCCATTAATCTGGCCGCGCAGGACCATGAGGCTGCCCCGCCCACATCACCCTGCCTACCCGCTGGCCTCCACCTGCCTTCTGGAGGCCGGGGAGGCCGAAAATGAGATGCACGGAGGCCTCTGGAGGCCAAAAATGGGCCTGTTTTTTGCCTCCCCGGCCTCCAGAGAGAGAGAGAGAGGGAGACACACACACACACACACACACACACACACACACAAACAGAAGTCCCTCATAAACACCCCAAGGCAGCCATATCCCTTCACTAACCTGCTTTCCACCCTCAGGAGTATAACAAATTAAAGTTTAATTTGTGTGTATTGTTTGGACTGCTGAATTGGCCACGCCCACCCAGTCACATGACCACCTAGCCATGCCCACCCAGCTGGTCCAGCCCCCAAACAATCTGAGGGACCGTGAATTGGCCCCCTGTTTAAAAAGTTTGAGGACCCCTGGCCTAAGGCATGAAAGCCAGCTGGATGACTTTAGGGTTCTCTGTCTCAGCTCACCTCGCCTCACTGGGTTGTTGTGGGGAAAATAGGAGGAAGGAGTATAGGTATGTTCATTGCCTTGAGTTGTTTATAAATATAATAAAGGCAGAATATAAAAATAATAAATATTGAACAGCCATGTAAACAATTTCAATGTATCATAATCAGCAACAGATAGTCTGCATCTGTAAGCAACTTGTTCATAAATTGCAAGTTGAATTAATTGCATGAAGCTTAATTATTTCTTGGTTCTTAATGCATAATTGTGTCAATATTTGTGGACTTGTTCCAGCAATTCAGTGCTGTCTAGAGAAATAGTGATATCCAAGAAAATACATTTTTACTGATACATACATGTAAATAGCTGTGTACAAAAGTTAGCAGGCTACAGCCCTGTTGTTTCAATTTATCACAAGAATGTTGGATAGCCACACAATTGACATAGAGTTGATGCACGTGATCATTATTTATTTAAATTTCTAAGGCTGTTAGGCCATAATAATTTGAAAAACAATTCAAAACAATATAACACCTAGGAAAAAAATGATGCCTGTAGAAACAATAAAATCCACATGTTGAATTCAAAACATGCCCATAAGAGGCCCACCTCATATACTAGTCCAGGGCCTGAGGAACAGCCAATTTTTGAGAGCCTATTTAAACAAGTTCAGGTAGGGGCCATACAGAACACTATGGGAGATACTATTCTCAAGGACAAGCACTGCAACAGCATATTTGTGTCTGAGTGTTCCTTTGGACATTGGATGTGAATATCCTTCTAGAATCTGTTTGTGTTAGCCCTTTATTTTCTTGTTGTAGCTTATAATAGTAGAATCTTGAAAGCCTGCCAGAGTTTTCCTCTGTCTCTCATATATCTCTTATATCATAAAGAATCAAGGTGGAGTTGAGTCTCTCTCTCTCTCTCTCTCTCTCTCATGCTCCCGTCTTTTATCATATTATGATGTTGTTTACATTCTCTCCTATCTTTTAAGGATTCTGCTAATTGCTCTTGCATCCTCTTCATTTTTATCCCTGCATTCTTCTACAGTTTGTGCTCTTCAGCTGCCAAAATGATGTTAAGTAAAATGTTCTAATGAACATACTTGACATGGAAGCTGATTTGAAAATCACCTTAAATTGTGTGTGTGTGTTTTAGATAAATAATGGCTAATTTTGCCAAGCAAATATACTGCCTTTTTTACTTGTACTTAACACAGACTTGTAAAGGTAAATTATAGCTCAGTGGTGTGTTGTGACAAGAATGACACATGGCTTGGCACAGCTGAAAGGAATATTCAGAAGCCATGTATTTAATATTAAACAACTATCGATGATCCTAACTGTAGTTTGCAGTTGCCTTATTTCTAGAAGTCATAGTTGAGATTAAACCTCTATTCAAGAATTGGACACGACACTGAACTTCATTATTTTTGTAACAAAAAGTAAACTGCAACCTCCATAGTGGCACTAATGAAAAAGAGGAGAGAAAATAGCATCCAGGCACAAGGCTTGTTGGTATAAAATGGTGAAGGTTCATTCTCTGAACTTATGGGTTGGTTTCTGAACATTTCGTTACCAGGCTAGGTAACCTCTTCAGTAGAGTTTAGGGAATGCCAGTGTCCGTATTCTTCTGTTTATAGGGGCTTCAGGTGTGGGTGTGTCAAGGGTCTTGTGATGGGTCGTGTGTGTGTGTGTGTGTGTGTGTGTGTGTGTGTGTGTGTCATTCTATTACATATATCATATTATATTTAAATTGATACTCTCCTTATCACTACATGGCACTCAAAGTCAGTCTTACTCAGGAACAATTTATCAAAATATATATGTGAAAGAATAACTCATGAATGAAGGCAAATATATGTGTCCCAGGATAATGTTGCAGGATCCAATCTGGGTCAGTCACTGCAATTAGAGATATAGTCTTCCGAGCTTTTGGACTTGTGCTGGAGCCCATCCTCAGGGAACTTCTCTCCACCGGAACGTGTGCTTTGGGCTATTCCATGCGTAGTATTTATATGGTGCCTGGTTCTCTGTGGCCTCTAGCTGTTGATTGGGTACTGTTGACCGACCATTAAGTCATTGGCTGTTGTTTCCTTGTGCTGCCTAGTCCTAGCCCAAAGCTTTAAGTGCCTTCAGTTGAATCAGTATAGAGGCCCCCTTCAGATCTTTACAATTCAGATGACATTCTAAGGGGACAAGGAAATAAAGCTTTTTGTGTATGAAAGAATAACTTTTTAAAAAATGGAACACTTTTTGAAGATGCCTTAAATGATAGTTACAATATCTTAAGCTAGTAGTGGACAATTTGATACTACACAGATTATCTGAGTGTGACTCCCACAGTCTTGCTATTACTCATGCCAATTGAGGCTGATGAGATTTGGATATTAAAGCATCTGGTATTTTAGCCCTCATTTGTTTCCTCTCTATGCTCATCTTTACACAGTGTTGCTTTATGGAACCACACAAAGCCACTCTGAGTTGTCTCAAAATCTACTTATGAGATCACTTTCTAATTTCATCCAATTGGATAATTTCAGATAGTATAAGGACTACTAGTTAATGTCTATATCAGTTTTAAGAGAAAATATAGATCATATGACAGAAGCCTGATACTGGGATGCCTTGTTAAGCCTATCCATTTATGTTCTCTTTGATGATTTTAAATATTCTCATCCTTCTCAATCTCACTGCTGCCTCTGATTCAACTGAGATTCTCTCCTCCCCTATTTTCCTTTGTTTCTAAACTTCTGCAATCCTAACTTCAGCAAGAAATTGTTCCACATGCTTAATCTATTCTTTTACAGACTGGGTTCACATGTATTTGGCAAAAGGCAGTTTGTTTCATTGTGGCATAGCATGTTATCCATGTAAACAGTGCATATTTTATAATCCATAATTAAACAAATCATGGATTAATGTGATTTATGAATTTATTGGATATTTCTGTCTCTCCTCCTCCTCCCCACCCCAAGAGCCTGTTGTTTCCTGTGCTTGTTTAGTGTCACTTATTTTGTGATGATACACATTCTATATCTACCCCTTCACCTTTGGAAATCGAAAACTGATTGTTTGGATGCCTCTTCCTATCCAAACATTTTTCCTTCCAAGCTGCCTTTTCCTTCACTGCTGTTACTCTCTGATAACATCAATATTACCTAGTCACCCCTACATTTCTGTATATTGTCAAATTATGATACTTTTCCTCTGTTAGTAAAAGAACAAACTTTTCCCTAAGTGAAAACTGTTGTCTGTGTCCTGGTCCCTCTACTCCCCCAGTTTTATCCCCATGTTCACTTAAAGCCATCTTGTACTCTACTATAATTTTCCTCATCTTTCTGATTAGCAACTCTACAATTTCCTTCAGTTTATTGTTTTTCTTTTCTGTAAGGTCACTTCTCTCATATTCTTTTGCTCCCTGTTATATCTGGTATAAACCCAGACCAAGCCAACAACCCTTATTCCTGCTAAGCTTCTATTCAAAACTCAGAATTTCTACCATTTCCCCCTATTTCTTTTATCCTATTGTCAGATTGAGCATCTTATTGCTTAATTTGGTAGTATTTGACAACAAACCTGCCTTGCAAAGTTTCCAAGAATTTACAACACCTTTATTTTGGAAGATATTTTTGGGCCATTTTTGGGGCAAAAGATCTAAGGTCTTGACTTGTTACCAGGATACCAGCCTAGCCTCTCTTTTTTCCTCTTTCCCCTCCTCTTTCCTCCTAGCATCATCTTAGTGGAGGAAGAGTGCACTTAATGGGCAAGGATATTTCCCCTACTCTCAGTTCCTGGAGTGTATGGGATCTATTTTAGACCCTCTCTTTTTGGGGTGTTGTTGTTTTTTTTTTTGCGCTTTACAGAATTTCAGCAGCATACCATCAGAGAACTGTATAAAGAAGGGAGAGCTGTAAAAAGAAGGGGACTGCACCTGATGATGTAGTGTCACTGATTGTGAATGCCTTAGTGCAGCATTTGTCATCCTTTTCATTGCAGGTTCATAGATTATACTGTTTTACTTATATGACTGTAAATTTAAAAGTAGAATAGCTATCTGTAAAATAAATAAGCCTTTATCTAAAACAGCCTTTTGGAAGTGGATACTGGCAATTTATTAATGCTTTTGACTCTTCTTTCATAGATTGTTTAAAGAAGAAGAACGAAGGCTTATCGGCTGGTACAGTGACGTTCCTGGCCTTATACAATGAATCAATGGCATGCTTTAAACAGAACCTCCAGGTACTTAATATTGTTTATTAAGGGTATAGTTGAGCCCTCTAATTGTGTAGTGAATTTTCCCCTTTTTTTTCAGACCAAGGCGCTGCAAATATAATTTACCAACTCTTACACAGTTTAAGCAGATAAAACAATTATCTTTAAAATGCAGGTGTTCACTACTGAGAACAAAATGCATTCTAATTAATGTTCACCTCTATTTCATATGCAATTATGGCGCTGTTTTGGTTTCACAATAGTTGATAATTATATAGGAAGAGTCGTATAATCTCTTCATATAGTAAATCACTTTTTACATTATTCTAGGCCTTGCCACCTTCTGATGTAACTATATGGGTCATCTGGTATGTTATCATAGTATAAGTTTAGTCATGAGTTATTTAAAAAGTTGGTTTTTCACATATAGTATCTGCTATTAAAATCTTTCTAAATCTAGTATCACTATAAAGTTGGAAAGATGTGGCCAACGTCTAGGATATGATCCAGCCATGTTCAGAACTACTATGCCTTCATTATTCAAAACGTCAGACTTGTGTATGCCATGATGTAATTTATATCATCAGAGTGTTTACTGTTATGAAGGATGATAAAATTATAACCAGAAGCTTAAAATAGTCACTGTCGAAATTCAATTCATTTGTAATTTGCAAAGTATCTATCACTGCTCTGCTTTGGTTGTTATGTTTAGAACAGGAATCATATTCCTATTACTATACTAATGCTATGCTATGCTATTGCTATTGCTATTGCTATTGCTATTCTATTCTATTCTATTCTATTCTATTCTATTCTATTCTATTCTTCTATTCTATTCTATTCTATTCTATTCTATTCTATTCTATTCTATTCTATTCTATTCTATTCTATTCTACCTGGCTTCCCTGAAAATAAGACATCCTCTGATAATAAGCCCAATCGGGCTTTTGAGCGCATGCGCTAAAATAAGTCTCCCCCCGAAAATAAGCCCTCCTCAAAAATATTTAAACACAGAGCAGGAAATCAAGTAACATGGCAAGAGGAGCCCCAACTTGCTACACGCACCCCAAAAATAATAAGACCTCTCCAAAAATAAGGCCAAGCGCTTATTTCAGGGTTCAAAAAATATAAGTCTTATTTTTGGGAAAACACGGTATACCATACCACACCATACCATAATTGAACTATAATGTGAGTGTTTTATTTATTCACAAAAATGAAATTTTTTTGGAACATTCTTTTTTCCTATTATATAGAAAAGTTGAATACCTATGAACTATTAGAGAAAGCAAAATAGAAGAACAGTTAGAGTCAGTGGAATTGTATAAGATTTTTTTTCATTACTGAAGAATGACTGACACAGATGAATTAAATGAAACATTGGGTAGAATCAGAATGAATTATGAGAAAACTCAGCTAAGAAGATTCTGAATTATAATAAAAGAAAGAAAAAAGTTATCGGGATAGGTATAGAATTAAAAAAAGTGGAACTGCATATAGAAACCTCTGTTCCCCATGTTTCCTTCTATGTGGAGGAACCCCCCCCCCCCCAGTCCTATACATATTTGCAGGAGGCACCTCAGTGTAATCTGCTGAAATTGCTTAAAAAACTCATTGTGATTGGGCACTTTTACCTTCAGGAGAAAGTGCAAATCTTTAAGTGCCTTCAGTTGAATGAGTATAGAGGCCCCCTTCAGATCTTTATACTTCAGATGCAACAAATTAACATTCTCTTAAGAGGACAAGGAAATAAGGCTTCTGTTTGTGAACACTGCCTGCTTTGCATATTTATTTTAAACACAGGGGTGAATTTACTCAATCTTCTATAATCTGTATACTCTATGGATAAATTGGAAATTCTCTGGTAATTTGGGATTTTTTGCTGATTTATTTCAAATAATATGACCGCCCATCTCAAATTCATGACTAACAAAATTTAAAATTAAAATTAAAATACCATCAGTAGCTGATTGTAGCTACAAAACCATCAACAACAATTAACCCAGTTACCGCATGGGCTTCACCCCATACCAATGACAGAACCATGTCTTTAAGGCTTTACAAAAAACAAGTTGGGTGTGGACTAATCCTGTCTCCAGGGGGCTGGTATTTCAAAGGACTGATACCATGAAAGAAAAGTCAGTTTTCTTGTATACTGCCAGATAATGTTCCCTGGTAAAGTCCCTCTGCTGCTGGACTTTATAGAACAGATAGACATAATTGGGAAAAAGCAGTCCCTCAAAGAACTCAGCCTCATGCCTTGAAGGGTTTTATAGGTTATTACTAACACCTTGAATTCAACCTGGACAAATACTGGTAACTAGTACAGCCCATGAAGCTGGGGTGTAACATGCTCTGATTGAAAAGTGCACATGCTGCTGGATTCTGCACCGAGTGTAGTTTCCACATAAAATGCATTGCTGTAGTCCATCTGAGAAGTGACCATAGCATGAGGGACTATGAGCAGGGTCTCTTGGTCAAGGAATGAACATAACTGGCACACAACACAAAATTATGCAGAGTTCCTTCTGGCCACAGCTATTACTTGTTCTGTGAACAGGAGCTCCAGTTGAACTGGAAGATCCCCAAAATGCACACAGGGTCTGTTAGGGCAGACAAATACTGACATTTTGCCATCCTTACCACCACAGACAAGGTCTTTAGTGGCACTAATTCATGCAGAGTTGAGTTCACTCTTTGTTGCCCTTCAGTAGCACTTTAATTTTCTTTCATCTCCCTCAAGACCTCTGTAAACCAAAGGAAATTGTGAGAACCGCAGGAGGAGAGAGTCCACACGGGCCTGGTCTGATCCAAAGCTCCACTACCCTCTCATTCTTGGATATAAGGAGGGCCTTGTTTGGTCCATGTAGCAGACTATCAAGAGCAACCCAAAGTTCCATTAGTTGCCTGGGATGGATTAGCCAAATAAATCCAGCCTTCCTGTGCTGGGGGATAGTGCCAGAAAACTCCATGGTTACCAGAGAATGATTTAACCATTAGGGGAGGAGCAACAGAAAGCTCCCTCAATTCCAGACTATGCTGCCACTGCTCTGACAAAGATCAGATCAGGTTGGGACCTGGGTGATCCAAAACTTTGCTCTTACTAGAAGTGTCCCAGGCAAGAATATATAACCTTGTAATGTTGTTTTTTGAAGATTGTGTATATTTAAATACATCCTCTGTATTATCCTTGATAATGAATAATGTAGTACTTTTCTGTTCATGTTTGTCTTTTTCTTCTGTTTTTCATATTGATCAGATATCAAATGTTAAAATGTGCTGTTGTGGTGGTGTTCTGCTATACCAAAACAAAGTACTGATTGTTGATGTAACAGTCATTAACATAACTGTTTTGCATTGATGTGAGAATAGTCAGGAGCTATTGAATAATGAGCATTGTCAGCAGGAGGTAAATGAAAAGAATAGCGGAAGTTGGACAAGAATGGATGTACTGACAGCTTGAAAACATATTAATTATTTTCACCCAACATCCTAGTTACTGCATTTTGGCAGCATTTATCTTTCACATCACATACTGCAATTTCTTCGTAACTCATACTTTTAAGTTATAAAATAACTCCATACCTCTGAGTATGATCCCTCTGGAATCAAATCCCTCTGGAATCAGCTGCCCCCAGAGATAAGGAGAATCCAAGACCTCGGTGCCTTTTGCCGTGCCCTTAAAACCTTCTTTTTCCAGCAAGCCGGGCTGGCCTAACACTTTTTAAAATGTTTTTAATTGTTTGTTATTGTTTTTAATCATGGGGCCAAATTTATATATATCTTTTTAATTGTATTTTAATGTTTGTAGTTTATGCTTTTACTTGTCTGTTCACCGCCCTGAGTCCTCAGGGGGAAGGGCGGTATACAAATTTAAAAATAAATAAATAAATAAAAAATATCTTCCTGAACTACTGGTGTGACAACTTGCCTCTCCTTAACTATTAAAATCATGTGCCTGTTAGTTTTAGAGGAAGGAGCAATCATGAGCTCAGAATTATGTGTCTTTGTGTATCTGTGTGCATGCATGGCCCTGCTTGCCTTCAAGTCCCTATTGACAAGTCCCTTTTCTTGCCAATGTTTTTGGAAGTGTTTTGTCATTGCCTTCTTCCTAGGGCTAAGGGGAAGTGATTGGCCCAAGACCACACAGCTGGCTTTGGGCCTAAGGCAGGATTAGATTAGTTTCCTGTTTCTAGCCTGGGGCCTTAACTACGGTACTACACCAAACTGGATCCATTAGTTCAGGAGTTTCCTATAAAAGGATGGTTATTACATCACAAGAATAACAATAATATAACGATATGAATATTCACTGAGAGTTTTAGTTAGACTTTCAGGTGAGATCCTGAGACTGATAAATCTTGGCCATAGTGAATGTTTGCTTAGATTTGCTCTATAAAATATTTATTAATGACATTGTATCATAAAGAATAACTAAACCAGGAAGCTTAAGGAACCCATCCATCTAAATCTTTATTTGTATTTTTTGCAGTGTTTCTTCAGTAGAAAATAGAGGTAGTCCTCAACTAACAACCATTAATTCAGCAACCATTTGAAGTCACAACAGCACTGAAAAAAATTATTTACAATTGGTCCTCACGTTTATGATTGTCGCAACATCCTTATGGTCACATGATCAAAATTTGAGTGTTGGCAAATGGCATATATTTATGACTATTGCACCGTCCTGGGGGTTATGTGATCGCCATTTGCAACCTTTCATGTTGGCTTCTGACAAGCAGTCAATGAGGGAATGACCATATGATTCACTTAATAGCTGTGATTCACTTAACTGTGGCAAAAAGGTCATAAAATTAGGCATCCACCTTGCTTAGCAATGGAAATTTTAGTTGCTATTGTAGTACAAGTTGAAGACTGACTGTAGGAGTTTCTATTTTATCTTGCAATTGTTTTTTTGATAATTGTGGCAGTCTTTGGATTCAAACTCATTTTGAATTTTCTAACCTATTATTTAAAAAAATAATTATACTTCAAACTCATCTTGAATTTTCTAATCTATTCTTAAAAAAAATATTTTCTTGGTTTATACTGTACGGCCAGGAAGGTAACCTGCTACCAAGTAACTACTCAGTGGTCTGCAAGAACTGCAATGCTACATATAAAAACTTGAGTTCCCACTACAGTAAGATGCAGAGGAGTGAGCAGCATGAGGAATCTGGAGAACAGTTTCATTTGTGCATTGATATAGAGGATGCAGTAAGTCTTACTTTCTATTTTGTTTTCTGTATACTATCTACTCATTTGTATCACACCTCAATATACTCTAATGTCTCAAGTTGGCTTTTGTCCAATTTAGTTACTTCATTATTACTAATCTCATAAAAAAGATTAATTGTAGATAAAATTCCAGTGCAGTAAAACAGAATATAGAATTGATAAAACCATAGCATAGTGTCATTGTCTTTTGTGCCTTTTGGGAAAATATAGCTTTTTAAATAACACAATAATAAGGGTAATTCCTGATAAAGGAAGCATTTTAATGTAGGTTGATAGTTTATATAGGAATCTGAAATGACTTGATGGCACTTAATCAATTCTACATATATTGGTAATAATTTAAATAAACCTAGTTCAGGCATTTTGGCACTTTCCAAAGCTAAATAGCTGAAAACCCACCAGTGTTTCATCTTACAATAAAAACATCTTTTTCTGGCTGTCCAGTTTTGTATTTTCGCCTCTTGAATATGCAGTCTCTGTTTACCCCACTGGCTGGTTTCTCAAAGGATCAATTGAGAGGGATGTCTTTTGCGCATATACTCTGATGTGTTAGCAGTGATGAGGCACATTGCTTAGGTCCCATCAGCCACTTACAGTACATTAACCTTCTGTTGTACTTCTGTGGACATTTTTCTGACATTTTCTTAATTTGGCTCCACTGTTTTGTTTTAAGACTTTCTTAAAGACACATGAATTTGGCATCTTCTATATAGCAACCAAATAAGCAGATGCTCTTATTACTGTATGAAATGATTGGATTGTGGTTAATGCAAATTCAAATGTTGAACTATGAAGAACACCTTAATAAAGCACTTGGCTGCTACATTTAAAGCTTTTCAGGCTGGATATTTTAAAATATACGTGAAAACCCATGAGATTGCTAAATTTGCAAGTGCCATTAAGGATGGCCTGATAATTATAAAAACCATGTTGCATCTTATCCAGGGAGGCAGGATTTGTACCCAGTAAAAGCTAGACATATTGATCCTTATTCAATGCAGAACTTTGCAATTTACTCAAATATTGATGATTCCTCAGATTTATTTTTTATTTTTTACAATTGTATCCTTCTAGATGAACATCACACAAAGGCTGTGGAGCACAACTTTTAATTGTTCTGTCCCCTGCACAGATACAGTGCCAGTGATTGCAGTTTCTTTGTTCATTTTCTTTCTACCACTTGTTTTCTACTTGAGTACCTTCCTTCACTCAAAGCAGAAAAAACGTGTCCTGATTCTGGGTAAGTAAAATCACCCCATCTTTATGGTTTCTATTTGGATTTAAATAAAAAAAGGTTACAATACTGAAAGTGGTATTTGCACCTAAATGGCATGATGCCCAGTGTTGGGTGCTTTGGAATTTGGGACTCTGTTCACAATCTGATTAGAATAATCTGGTTTGGAAGTTGATAAGGCATCATTTGATTCTGTCCCACTGTTGCACTCTTTGAGTGACTAAACAAGTTTTAACTGTCTTTATCAAGCCCTTCTGAGTCAAAGGTGGCAATCCAGATGGAACGAATCAGACAATTGGATGATTTTCTCCTATCTTTTTTTTAAAGTAGTAAGGATAGTCAGCTTACTATCTACAGTTAACTCTTTCTGAACAACACACCTAACATATTGTTGAACATCTGTGATTAGCAATATCATATTCAGTATTCTAGTCAACTATTTATTTATAAAACTATTTGGCTGCCATTATTTAAATAAATGATGTGAAGAAGCCTCTCTTCATAGTATGGTGAAGTTACTGTATATAGGAATAACTGTCTCATACAATTCAACTGAACAGGTGAAACTCGAAAAATTAGAATATCGTGCAAAAGTTCATTTATTTCAGTAATGCAACTTAAAAGGTGAAACTAATATATGAGATAGACTCGTTACATGCAAAGTGAGATAGTTCAAGCCTTGATTTGTCATAATTTTGATGATTATGGCTTACAGCTCATGAAAACCCCAAATTCACAATCTCAGAAAATTAGAATATTGTGAAAAGGTTCAATATTCTAGGCTCAAAGTGTCACATTCTAATCTAAGCTAATTAAGCCATAACACCTGCAAAGGGTTCCTGAGCCTTTAAATGGTCTCTCAGTCTGGTTCAGTAGGAATCACAATCATGGGAAAGACTGCTGACCTGACAGTTGTGCAGAAAACCATCATTGACACCCTCCATAAGGAGGGAAAGCCTCAAAAGGTAATTGCAAAAGAAGTTGGATGTTCCCAAAGTGCTGTATCAAAGCACATTAATAGAAAGTTATGTAGAAGGGAAAAGTGTGGAAGAAAAAGGTGCACAAGCAGCAGGGATGACCGCAGCCTGGAGACGATTGTCAGGAAAAGGCCATTCAAAAGTGTTGGGGACTTTGACAAGGAGTGGACTGAGGCTGGAATCAGTGCATCAAGAGCCACCACACACAGACGGATACTGGACATGGGCTTCAAATGTCATATTCCTCTTGTCAAGCCGTTCCTGAACAACAAACAATGTCAGAAGCGTCTTACCTGGGCTAAAGACAAAAAGAACTGGTCTGTTGCTCAGTGGTCCAAAGTCCTCTTTTCTGATGAGAGCAACTTTTGCATCTCATTTGGAAACCAAGAACCCAGAGTCTGGAGGAAGAATGGAGAGGCACACACTGCAAGATGCTTGAAGTCCAGTGTGAAGTTTCCACAGTCTGTGTTGATTTGGGGAGCCATGTCATCTGCTGGTGTTGGTCCACTTTGCTTCATTAAGTCCAGGGTCAACGCAACCGTCTACAGGAGATTTTGGAGCACTTCATGCTTCCTTCTGCAGATGAGCTTTATGGGGATGCTGACTTCATTTTCCAGCAGGACTTGGCACCTGCCCACACTGCCAAAAGTACCAAAACCTGGTTCAGTGACCATGGGATTACTGTGCTTGAATGGCCAGCAAACTCGCCTGACCTGAACCCCATAGAGAATCTATGGGGTATTGCCAAGAGAAAGATGAGAGACATGAGACCGAACAATGCAGAAGAGCTGAAGGCCGCTATTGAAGTATCCTGGTCTTCCATAACACCTCAGCAGTGCCACAGGCTGGTAGCATCCATGCCACGCCGCATTGAGGCAGTAATTGATGCAAAAGGGACCCAAACCAAGTACTGAGTACATATGCATGCTTATACTTTTCAGAGGTCCGATATTGTTCTATGTACAATCCTTGTTTTATTGATTTCATGAGATTGTGAATTTGGGGTTTTCATGAGCTGTAACCAATAATCATCAAAATTATGACAAATCAAGGCTTGAACTATCTCGCTTTGCATGTAATGAGTCTATCTCATATATTAGTTTCACCTTTTAAGTTGCATTACTAAAATAAATGAACTTTTGCACAATATTCTAATTTTTTGAGTTTCACCTGTATATGTTGGCTGTTTTGGTACTCAGAATAATTTGACAGTTGATAAAAATGAATAAATAAACATGTTGCCCAGTTAAAGTAGTGGTCCATCTTGTCATTTGAAAAAAAAAAAGGATTCAGTTTTCATTTAAGCATGGACAGCAATTATCTCATTTTCAGATTAGTAATTTTGTGTATTCCTGGTTCAACTCTTTAATGTGATTTCCCAAGTTTAAATGGTGGCCAAAAGTATTTTTGCTCCTGGAAATTAGACCAGACCACAATGACATAGGCCTTTGTATTCTGTTGTATTCTGTTTGGAGTTTGGAGCATTCTAGATATTACTGCTTATTGAAGAACTTTAGGTAGTTCATAACATTGGCCACATCATTAACTAGAAACTGTAATAGATAGCATGTGATAGCCTTGTTAATGTCAACTTTTGATCTATTTCTGGCACACTTAAGACTGATAGCCATGATCTATGAAATCTTGCATGACTTGAGGTCTATTACATTAAAAGGTTACTTTCCACCCTTTGAACTTGTCTAAATTTTAAGATCTGTTGCAAAACCCCTTTTCCCTCCCTTGCCATGGGAAAATGAGGAAAGGTATTCTCAATAGCTCCTCATCAGCTTTGGACCTCTTTGCACTGATTGGCCAGACTAATTCTCTGTCCAACTCTAAAAGTATTTAAACCAAGGTTGTTTTTCTGATTGATTTGTAACTATAATTTGGGATTTTTTGCATTATCACTATTTTTTATATTCATTGTGAGAAAGTATGAGGTCTCACAATGCTGTTGTACAATGATGCAAATTTAATTGGTAATTCGATGATATCATAACACATATACTAACACTATGACTTGTTCCAGATGCATCTCCATTCAAATTATGTTGATAGTGACTTGGATTTCTTGCATGAATATGCTATGAACTGTTTTTGTGTGATTTTATGCTTTTCTTCTCTTTCTAGGTAAGCGAATCGACTCAAATGCCAGCTTTGCGAATATCCAAGATAAATCCAACTGAGCTTTGGGATGCAATGGGATATTAATTTGATTGCTCTGAAGACAATTATAATTTAACTTTACATTATGCTGTAAAAGACTCTGTGTCTCAGATAGGGGTATGCACTATTGTGCAATAGTTCTTGGGGATGATATGATCTCCAGAGACGAAAAAGAAACTATATTCCCTCCTTCAATCCTTGAACTCTTGTCTTACTTCCTGATTGGTAAAGTTTTTATACTTTATATAATGGATTAATAACACTTACTTCCATGTGTGATGCACTTACATGAACATTCCTTTCTAATTCTTACCTGAATGCTGATTTATTTAAAAGTTATCATTATTGAAAAATGAAAAAAAAAATGAAAAAAAAAATGAAAAAAATGAATTCAATGGCTTAATATTTATCAGCAGACAAATCTTAATGTTTAGTCTACATTACTACTAAAAATGCTCATAGAAATAAACTTTGAATTTTATATACTATATTGCAGGCAATAAAAGTGACTATTAGAATTGTAATAATTATGGAAAAATGTCATGTCTTGATATTTCTAGTGTAGTATACTTGAATAAGTTCTTATCTCTATGGTTAAAAGCAAGATTAAACTAATGGAAACTCTGTTACTTAATTATTCTCTACCCCTAAAAGTATTTTTTATGAAGTGGCTTTTTATGTAAGGGTACATAGTATATTTATTAGAATTTACAGACAGTATTTTATTGCATTTGCTTTGGAAAAGTTATCCAAACTAAAACAAAGAAAAAAAAAGCTGAACAGGTTGTGGGGGAAATTGGGTTAAGAGAATAGAAAGAATTAACATGTACATTATAGGGAAAAGTTATTTATTTGGTAGAATAGTTTCATAGTATTTAAATAACAAAGTATATTGATAGATTTGTCTATCATTTTTTAAAGAAGTAAATATGAAGACAATTGCTGGCTCTTGGTGTCTGTTTGCAGAAGAACTTAGTGATTTAACAAAAAGTACATTTAGAATGCATTCTTGGGGTTTCTGGGAGGCCATAGAAATACTGCACATTTCTCTCTCTGCAGGTGGAGAAGAAACTGCTAAAATAGTGTTTTCTTAAATAGTGTGGAATAGTCCTCAGCTGAAGTTGCCTTGTCCAGCAGTAACAAAAAAAGAAGGCATTGGGGAAAAGTCAAGGGTGTCATTGAACAAGATTTAGCTGGGCTCATACATCATATTGAACTGTGATTCTTTTAAATAATACTTTGTTCAGGAAACCAAAATTGATTTGGTTTACATAACATGTTATACCAGGGTGAAGAATCCAATCCCACATTACCTCATTTGAGGATTGGCTAAAATTTTGGGAACCATTTTTGGAGAGATTAAAGGTATCCTTAAAAATTCTAAATCCCCTGTAATAAACCATTGTTTCCATTTTGGGTGAATAAGCCTTCTTAATCATTGCTCTTGGTGCTGGAATAAGTGAAGAACTTCTGAAGCTAGTGTAGTTATTATCCATCTCTTTAGATCTAATGAAAAACAAGATTAAAAGTAGGGGTTTTGTTTAAAAGAAAATTTCCTATTTCCTCCCCATATCTATATCTGCTGAATACAACATAAGAATAATTTGCATATGGGTTATGCAGTATATTCAGGAAGGCAGTTGTTTAATCAGTTATTTCTGCGCAAGAAGGCAAAAGTTGTTGTATGGCACTCCTAAATAGTTTGCAGAATCTCTTTTTAAGTAGCTTGGTGGAAGCAACAGTAGGTTACTGTTGGAAAAGTAAGGGCTTAATACCGAACAGTTTCTAATGAATGAAAAAGGCATTGGGTGTCGGGTGGGATTGAGGAATATATCCAATTATGAAATGTCATTGTTTCATCCTAAAACTAAATTTTTCCATCTGAATCACAATTGGCTCATGATACTTGTTTTTTTTTAATTTGATTTATATGCCGCCCTTCTCCGAAGACTCAGGGTGGCTTACAATGTGTTAAGCAGTAGCCTTCATACTTTTGTATATTTTATACAAAGTCAGCTTATTGCCTCCACAATCTGGGTCCTCATTTTACCTACCTTAGAAAGAATGGAAGGCTGAGTCAACCTTGAGCCTGGTGAGATTTGAACTTGCAGTAATTGCAGGCAGCTGATGTTAATAACATGCTTTAGTCTGCTGCGCTACCAGGGCTCTGTATAGTGCAGATTTGGAAAAATCTGCACTGTATTGTTCAGTGCAGATTTGGAAAAAGTTGGGGTGTTAAGCCATTCTTAATCAAATGAACTGCTCTGATTGATGCTGAGTTGCTGGCTATATTTTAATGAGATACACACACACTTATGACTGCATAATAGTATTAGTGACAAGCTAATTATATTTGATCAGCAGGGCTAAGCTGATTTGAAATAAAAATATGCTGACTTCAAGAGAGTTCTGGATTTGCGCCAGAATTACAAAATTGAGCAGGTAATGATTGTAGAACATGACCTATATGTTGGATGAAATAATAAAAATAAGAGCAGATGCAGCATAGGTCCTGAAAAAGATTTGTATGTCACTGTTACAGTAATCTGCCTATTAGCATGTTACCTTTTATATTTTACCTATAGCATGTTATAGCTATTTTTCTATTCAGATTTCAAGACATGTAGATTTAGCCATGTCCTGCCCTTTAATAGCATTACATTGATTTGAGGCATCACATAATGGGGAATGGTTCAAAGCAATCTTTTATGTTGTGAGAGATTTTGTGCATAGAAAGGCACAGAATGACAGATTGGCTTATTAGCATTGGGTTTTTAAAGACATTTGCACTAAATATGTCTGAAAGTCACTACTCTCTTGGATGGTGGCTAAGCACTTTTCATAAAAGGTGTTTTGATAGAGTTGGTTTCATTATTTTCTTAGTTTTTGAGCCAAATGGAAATAACTTTCTATTGTTTTTCTGTATAAATGTAAAAAAGGAGAGACCTGTTATTTTTAAACTTGAAGATAGCTGTTTTATGATACAATCATGTATTTTTCATATTGTTTAAAATTGTCCATGATATATACATATCTTGTTAATGGATTTTCCTTTGTCTTTGGTTTTAATTTTAAACTTAATGTACATGTAAAACTTCTCCAATAAACAGCCAGAAAAAGTGTAATAAAGGCATGTTCTTTACAATTACTTTGAATTTTAGATTAACTGTATTTAATTTACTGAGAGGATGGCTGTTAAAAAATAATATATATCGGTATATTTTTATCCGTGACAAAAAGATTCTGTCCCAATAGTGGGTGTCAGAACTTCTACCTATATAATGCAACATTTCATATCCTGTACGAACAGTGACCAAGTGTGTCATTATATACAGAAAAACATAATATACAGTATATGCAGAATGTCATTAGATATAGAAAAACAAGATGGATTCCTTGTTTTGTTGTGTACAGCACCATCAGTCCAACATGAGTATTCTTGCTTGGGATGATGTGAGTTGTAGTCCAGCATGTCTGCAGGATGAAAAGTTAAGAAAGACTGATAAGATGTTTTAGGGCATCCAAAATCTGGTTCTATTCATTTTTCTCAAATTGATTTTAATTCCATTAGCCATAAAACATGCTAATCTCTCCGTATATTTCTGTGAAGGTAGTTCATATATTATACAATTAAGTTCAGTCTAATTGTGAAGTATGAATGCATTTGATATGTACCAGTTGCGCTGTTGTAAATTTTCTGGTAGCGTGCATGTGTAAAAATGTCAAGGTAGTAAAGCATGCTTGCCATTGTACCATTGACACAAGGAGACTATTCCTCTTCTGTGTAATACATTTAAACTTTTGAGATGCACATGATAATATCATTGGCTTAGATAATATGTTGGTGTAATTGGTAAATGGTTATTTTGCACACAAAACAAATGTATACAAATATATCTGCTGGGAAATGCTCTTTCCAGTAGTGGAGAAAGTCAACATCCACTGGAACTTTCCTTCTAGAGAAAGGCAACAGTAATTTTTTTAAAATTCCTCTTCATCCCTGTCCCAGTAACATTCCTCATCCACAATTCTGGAGATGTATCAAATTAAAAAATGTTTTTGGGAGCATGGAGAACCACTGGGTGAAAATAAATGATCTAAATTCTCTCTGCCCTCACATTAGACTAGTGGAGTAACTCACGTGATTTCATTCTGTGCAGCTCTGGATCAGCCCCCTTTATTTATAGTTGGACCTACTTTATCAAATATTTTTGATAAAAATCTAGAGATTGTCTTTCTGGACACATTTAAATTGAAATGTATCCTAGTGCTTATCTAACAACTAGTGGAGTATAGCATAATACTTCTAACAAATGGGCTCATATTTCATGCTGGGCTAAGTCATTATGCATTATGCATTAACCATAATATGTGACTTTGGACATTGTTCTTGTACTCATTAGGAGACCAAAAGTCTGTAGACTGCAAGAAAATGGGAGAAAATAGGGTGTCCACAATTCATAGCCTAGTCAAAATAATACCATTTACTCTGAAAATACTCTTCCTGATTAAATTGCTTTTGCAGTGCTTCATTCTTGTGGAATGCAGTCCTAACCATTTTCAGGGATTACAGATGTCCCTCTACTTATGAACAGGTTATGTTCTGAGATGCTGTTCGTAAGTCCGTTTTGTCCATAGGTAAGTCCAAACAAACATTAAAATCACTCGTGCCGAATTCCAGTTATTCACAATTGCTGCCGTACACACCACATTCAGTCACTAAACAACTAAACGGAACAATATGCAAGCAAAAGTCAGGAGAAGGTGGGAAAGGGTTAGTTTATAGTGCACCTTCTGACTTCCAGGATCTATGTTGGCATTGCAGGCAGGTTTGTTCTTATTGGTGATAAAAATTCAAACATAAAAGTTTGTAAACAGAATGTCTGTAGACTTTTAGAAGCCTTCAAAGAATAGATTGACTTATCAATTTTTACTCATTTAAATAGTTTTAATGAGTTTTTAAAATTAAAATGTTTAATGTTTACATTCATTGAATCTACAGCAAGTTTTAATATAAATAAATTGCCCTAAACTATTGCCAAATGGTCACAACCCCAGGTTATCCTTGTCCATTTATTAAGAATAATGTGCTAATAATTTTGAGAAGAAACAAAAGAAAAATTGAGCCTAGTTACAGTTTGATCTCAACATTCCGTTAATTTTTAGAAAATTCTGATTTTTATTGAACTATTTTATCTGAGAGATACAGGGAAATAATGGAACAATTCTTGTTCCATAAGGTTTATAACTGGCATCCTTTCTTTGTATCTAGGGTTCTAATAGCCTCTGAACATGAAAGAAATGGATAGTGTAAAGGATGGGTCTTTCTTTTTTAAAAAAATACATTATGCTTTAAATATTGTTTTTAATGAATTGACACATTGTATGTGAGAGCAATTTGTCCTTCATGTTTGATGCCTAATGTATAACCATATGGCTTCAGAAGAGACTTAATGGTATGTCTGCCTCTTATGGTCTCCTTAATCAAGTGCTCTGATTTATTTCCTCTTTCTAATTCCATTCCTTATAAAAAGAGAGGGAAGCTATGAAGTACCATTTCTGTTTTGCACCAATTATGCTCTTCACATGGAGTATTATGTTTTTTAGAGAAATGTTTAGGAGATCATTGCACGTAAATGTGACAATTTTATCAACTGCTTAAAGATACTTCTTTGAAATGAAATGGTTGACTCTTAGTATCTAACTTTGTTGCCTTGGATCCCTCTGTGGATAACCAAGTTTAACTCAGGTAACTTTGACACAGCTGCTTTCGGGATCACTAGAAGTAATTCACTTCACCAGTGCTTATAGTATCTGCATTTATTTTCCCATATTATTGTATCTTCATTTTTAAATGCTGAAAATATGTTGTTGGGTTCAGACTGGGTTCATGTATGACTGCTAATGTGATTTCTTGAATATTATGGAACTTGTGGCAAATACAGGTAGTCCTTGATTTATAGCCATTCATTTAGTTAAGAGTCCTGTCAATCCCAATCAAAGGCTATGCTATAGGTCAGTGATGGGTAACCTTTTTGCCATCGCATGCCAGGAGCGGGGGGAGCGCGGAGGGGGAGTGTTGCACGTGTGCTCACACCCATAATTCTATGCACCCGCCTCCGCACATGCGCGCACAACCGGTCCCACCGGAAGTTGGCAAATGGGCCATTTTTGGTCTCCGGAGGGCCTCCTGGGGGGGTGGGGAAGGCCATTTTCACCCTCCCCAGACTCCTAGAAAGGCCCTGGAGCCTGGGAAAGAGACCCCCCCCGAGGCCCCCCTGAGGCCCCCCCCGAGGCCCTCTGGAGGCAGGAAACAGCCTGTTTCCCTACTTCTGGTAGGCCCAGAAGGCCCGAAAATCAGTACGCACCAGAACTGAACTTGCGTGCCCACCGATATGGCTACGTGTGCCACCTCTGGCACATGTGCCACAGGTTCGCCATCATGGCTATAGATGTAGAGCAGAATTTTAGGGCTTTGTGAGAAATTTAGACAGTCATCCCCACCAATGCTTGCTGGAGTGTTCTTTGGGGAATTGGTTGCTTGAGGAAGTATATTATGTTAGCAGAAGATATTTTACTTATAGCTTCCTCAAGTCTGGGGAAGGACTTGAAAATGATTGATATTTTCTTGGTACCTTTTCTTCTCAGAAGAAAAAATCCTTGGCATCTGAAGATGATCAGAGAGCAGGTGAAAGCCAAGATCTTTTGTACTTTTTAGAGCAGTGTTTCTAAACCTTAGCAACTTCTAAGATGTGAGGATTTTAATTCCCAGAATTCCCCAGCCAACTTTCTGGGAGTTGAAGTCCTCACATCTGAAGGTTGCTAAGTTTGAAAAGGACTGCTTTAGAGAGTAACTGCAAGCCAGTGTAGAACATGACAGATAAATAATGGGACAGGAAATGGCAGCTTCCTTATTGTTTTGTCTTGGATTTTGTACAACCTTTTAGCGTTTAGATATGGATACTCAGAAGACAAACCTGTATTTTGCTGATGCTTTACAAATTTGTAGAGATATAAGCAAACTTTCCTGTTCTATCTTTACTTGACCAACATTCCTTTCTCAATTCTGGAGCTCAAGTTGTCTAATTCATGATATTTAAGCCTCCTCTGTATTGTTTTGAGCTGGGTATTCTTTCACTGATGTCAAATCTGCTTATCCTCTTAACTCTTAACCCTCTTAATGTGCAAAATACTGAGAGGTTTTTGCAGAGGCAAGGCAGCAGTATTATCTAAATTTAATTTGATTATTCTGTTTCCTACCACCCTTCTTTCTTTTTAAGCCCTTATACTTCATAAAAGTATATATGTGTGCATTGTAGTCTCAGCTATGACGATAGATTAAAAAAGGACTGGATTCTCCTTGTTCTGCATGAAAGCACAAAATTCTTTCTTCGCCTCCGGTCCTCCTAATGACCTCCATTAATTTGTATAATCTTTTACTGGTGATTGACTGACATTCTTTATTTAGTGGTGGTTAACATTTGTCTCCACGTTTTTGAATAAAGTCTTTAGACCACTTGTGACCAAATTGCCGAACATCATCTATCCTAGAAATAAAAGTTGCATTGCTCAGTTGCAGAATGGCTGCATACTGAAAATGTGATGTATTGACCCATAAGTAAGCTGTTTCCTTAATTTACTGCTATTGATTAGATGTCTTGAACAATCTTTAATTCATCTGTATTTAATGTTAGGAGTAAATTCTTTAAATACATAATACTAACAGGGCTGTACACCTGTCTTTTCCTGAGCTTGCATAGCAATTTCAAGAGAGCACTGTGCAATCCCAAGAAAAAAATGCAGCAATTGTGGAAAGATCCTGTGTGTGTTTCCCTGCATGCTCCAAAATCCCATTTTGTCTTGCACTTAAAATACTTCACAGACCTAAATAATAGTGAACCAGCATATGACTGTTGCAGCTTTATATATATTAGGATCAACTGACACAGACAAGTACGGTAGCTACAATCTTTCTACTACTACACACACAGACGCACCCACCCACCCCATGTATGTGATATAGATAGATATAGCTTTCAGGTCGGTATTAATTCCAGACAATTGAGGTCCCTGTAGTTTTAATATTAAATATTTAAGTAATAATAGATACTCTTTTCAAAATCTCACATAGGAAACATTGCTGAGTAATTGAGGAACTTCTCATATCTAAGTGACTGGAAAATATGTTTTTACACAGAAGGAAATTCTCTTTATTCATATATAACAAAATGTAAAAAATGGGAAGAGGAAATGCAAGCGTTATCTTAAAACAGTCTTACCCAAGCAGTTCCAGAAAACTGTTCTGTCCTGAAAACTTTTAGAAGATTGGGCACCAGGCATTTCTGTCCTTCTGGGCTTCAGGACTACCCACCAGACAATGGTATTTTTAAAATATTAAAATAACATGGAAAGAAATTCTGTTTCACAAAAATACATATTTTTGGGGCAAATATACTTAACCTTTGAAATCTTTCTTTAAGCTCATCAAAAAGAATTTGATTTGCAAATAGGTTACGACATTCCTCTTCGAAAATTGAGCTTTGGATGAGACTTAAACGCAGGTGATAAGAAGGGGATTCACTATTCATGACTCCAAATAAAGTGTGTATGAACTAATAAGAAAAAAAAAGGCCTTATTGCAGCTTTTTATTCCAGTGCTTGCATATTGGGTAACTCAGTGTGACTCTGATTCACCAGTATTCATAGATGTGTGTTACTGCAAACATTTTAAAGAGGCTTCTTTATTGAACAGTTAACTGACACTGAAATATGCTCCCTACCACTTCTAAACTTTAAGAAACAAGAAAGTTTAGCTTCTAGCTCTCTCTCTCTTTTTAATTTTTATTGAAAATTATTAAAAATTATAGAAAAAAAATATAGCAATATCTATAGAATTGCAGAGAGTGATATAATACATATAGAGTTTTAAAGCATCAATTTTCGCCTAGAAATAGTACAAACCTCCATTAAACCAAAACATCAGAAAAAGAAAAGATTATCCAGAAGAAGGAATTCTCAGCTGCCATGCAATATTCCTATAAATATTTACCCACAGTCACACTAAGATTATTATTTTACATTCTTCCTAAGATTTCTTTTTTGCAGCCAAGCATACCACCGGTCCCAACTCATATATAGCCCCGATTCTTGTCTATCTCGCAGAAGTCTGGTAAGCTTGTCTGCCTCTGCACAGTCCATGATCTTTGCGGTTAACATAGCCTCCGATGGGATATTTTTGGATTTCCATTCTTGCGCAAACGAGATCCTGGCTGCAATGATGATGTGGAGAGCGAGATACCAATTAGATTTGTTTAAGTTCTCTGGTTTCATGCCTAGTAAAAATGTTTCTGGGTTCAATTTTATCCTACATCCTATGATTTCTAAAATCCATTTTTGAATTCTGGTCCAATATTCTCTTACTCGGGAACAGGTCCACCAGATATGAAAATAAGTTCCCATAGCGGCGTTACATTTCCAACAAACTTCTAGCTTTCTTCTTTGGGCAGAATAGTTACACTTTTATAAGTTTCACATCTCAGAACTAACAAGGCCTTGGGCAATATCAAGAGCATTGATATGAATTTAGTGGGGCCCCAGGAAGTTCTTGTCATCTAACTTGCTAATGACAGGGTCAGGTTTTATAGCAGAAGGTCCAACCTTGGCAACTTTTTTTTTTTAATTTTAAAACAAAACTTTATTCATTCTTAAAAAACATTTAAAACATACAAGTTTCTCTTAATCAAAAACAAGTACACAACTTCACCTACTGACTAATTTCTATTATTATATATACATATACACACACACAGTGACTTATTTCCTTTTCTATCCATCTGACAATGCTGTTTTTAATTGAATTGATTTCTTCTGGATTTCATCTTTACCCATTCCCCCTCCTCTGGTTTATCCACTGGTACCATCTATTCCATATTATAAAATATTTTGAGTCTTCCTTGTCCTGTAACTCTAAAGTTAAATTTGTCCATTTCTGCGCATATATAGATTTTTTGTATTAGCTCCTGGTCGGTTGGCAAACGATCTATTTTCCAGAGTTGTGCTAACGCTAGTCTAGCCACTGTAATTATGTGAAGTATTAAATATTTTATATTGTTTCTAATATTCTTTTTAATTATGCCTAATAAAAAGACTTCGGGTTCTAATTCAATTTTGTAATCTGTTATTTCTACTATCCATGTTTTTATTTTGTTCCAATATTTCTTAATTTCTGGGCAAAGCCACCAAGCATGGTAAAAAGTTCCCTGTGTTTTTTTACATATCCAACAGGCTGGATTTACGTTTGGGTACATTTTTGCTAACCTTGCGGGGGCCAGATACCATCGGTACCACATCTTATAGTGATTTTCTTTATAAGCTACCGATTTTGTCATGCTGTAATTGTTTTCCCATGCTCTTTCCCATTCTTCTAACTGTATACTGTGCCCGATGTTCCTCGCCCACGCTATCATCTGCCCTTTAACCAATTCTTCTGCCAAATCATATTCAAGTAAGTATTTATAAATTTTTGAAATTAACTTCCCTTCTTTAGATTCTAGTAATTTGTCCAATCGATTTTGTTTTAAGTCTATTCCTCCCTCCTCTTGGTCCTTTCTATATCTTATCTTTATTTGTGAATAGGGCCACCAGTCTATTACTATTCCTTGTTCTTTAAATTCTTCCCTAGTTTTCAATTTTCCCTGTACATCTACTATTTCTCTGTATCTTAACATTTTTTGTTTTGATAATATATTGGGGTGAGTTATTGCTTCTATCGTTGATAGCAGCCGGGAATTTTCATGTAGTGTTTGCGTTTGATTTGTTGCCATGTGTTGATTAAAGATTTCCTGATAGTGTGGTTGTTGAAATGTTTGTATATTTTATTTCCAGAGCTCCATATAAAGGCATGCCATCCCTTCATTAAGTCATGTCCTTCCAGATTTAACAGTGTTTGGTTATCCAGGATTATCCATTCTTTGATCCATAATAGGCTTGCAGCCTTATAGTATTTTTCCTATGCCGGGAACCCAAATCGGCCTCTAATTTTGTCGTCTTTTAATATATTTAATTTTATTTTTGATTTTTTCCCCTCCCACACAAATTTTGTAATTATTTTGTCCAAATTATCAAAAAATTTCTTATCTAATTTTATTGGAATTGTTTGGAATAAATAAAGGAGCCTTGGAAGTATGTTTGATTTTATCGCTGCTATTTTCCCCATCAAGGACAGTTTTAATTTCCCCCATTTATCTAAGTCCTCTTTTATTTTCTGGACTAAAGGTTCATAATTATCTTCTTTTATTGTTGCAGTTCTAGCCTTCAAATTTATCCCTAAATATTTCACTTTTTAAACTGCCTGTAATCCTGAATCTTTTACTAATTTCTCTACTTGTTTTGTTGTCATATTTTTTGTTATCATTTTTGTCTTTTCTTTATTAATTTTTAGGCCTGCTACCTTTCCAAATTTTTCAATCTCTTTTATTAATTTCGGGGTTGTTTCTATTGAATCTTCTATGAAGAAAACAAGGTCGTCCGCAAAAGCTTGGACCTTGTAATCCTTTCTCTTAATCTTTACCGGCTGGGGAATTCTGGGAGTTGAAGTTCACAGGTCTTAAAGTTGCCAAGGTTGGACATACCTGCTCTATAATCATGTAACTTCAAAACAGATATCTAAAGAGATTATGGGAAATTCAGACAAAAACACTAGAGTGCTACAGGAGGAATAAATGTATATGATGGTACATAACAATTATTTGTTTCTCAAAGCATTATGCTTGAACACCTGCAGAGTTATTTTTAAAAATGCTTTATTCCATGCAATGCAAAACATGGAAGAGATTAAATATAAAGAGAACCTTTTGCTCTCATCTACTAAGGAATCAGATCAATGGCTTTTTTTCAATGCCTTTTCTCAGAAGCACATAAAAAGTCACGGGCTGGGAATAAGAGGTGTTATAGGACCAAACGGTGCCATTATTATGATCAGGTGCTACAATATTGCTGTCAATGAACTGAACCTTAGATCCTAATTAGCTTTTCAAATGTAAGGAGAGGTTTATATCAACACAGTAAATACAGTGCTAATTTAGAAATAGCTCTGGGCAAAAAACTGGGTAGCAAACTAAGCTGCATCCCCAACTTGGAAAAATTTGAATCAGAGAAGGTAGAATCTTACCTATAGATTTAATCCTCACAAAATTATCTTTGTTTATACCTTCAAAAGAATAGACTATCTTTAAAGAGCAATCATTGTCAGGCATATTTTCAGAGGGGAAAAGATTTTGTCTGGAAAGGATAAGGGCAGGGGTGAAATCCAGCAGGTTCTGACAGGTTCTGGAGAACCGTTAGCGGAAATTTTGAGTAGTTTGGAGAACTGCCAAATATCACCTCTGGCTGGCCCCAGAGTGGGGTGGGAGTGGAGATTTTGCAGTATCCTTTCCCTTCCACGCCCACCAAGCCACACCATGCCCACCAAGCCACGCCCACAGAACCAGTAGTAAAAAAAAATTGGATTTCACCACTGGATAAGGGGTTATCTATTCTCCCCATTTTTATCCCATGTGTAGTTTGTTCTCAAAGGATTGATTGTATATGGCTGTTCCCTGGCACATAGTTTTCCCCCTGCCCATTTAATACTCACAAATAGAGGTTGGGGAGGGGGTGGTCACAAACAAAACATGTCTGACACAAAGAGGTTCACATCTATTCTATTCTATGGCTCCGAGTCCTCTGCTACCTGAATTCCTTGAACTTGACTCTTCTTGAGCAAATTGATGATTTTCAATCTGCCCAGAATTACTCTTCTCATTTCCTTGAATATTTCTTTCTCTTCATCTGCAGAAGAACCTGAATAAAACACAGTAAGTCACAAAACACATACTGTTTTATAAAATGTATAGTTTTCCTGTTCCAAGAATCATCAATTTCCTTGGCCAGAAACTCATACTGCTTCCACATACCATATTACAGTGAGCAGTTTTGTAAAAATTAAAGAGTATGGATATGAGAGAATTAGTGGATCCAGAAGAACTCATAAAGAGTCTGTTGTTAAAATAAGAGATACTGGGTACCAGCGAAACAAGAGTTGGAGTTCTGGAGGAGAATATGCTGGAAATCAGCCAAAATAAAATATGCTGGAAATCAGCCAAACAATAGTTGGAGGCTGGGAGGAGACTATGCTGGAAATCAGCCAAATAATAGTTGGAGGTAGGGAGGAGATTATGCTGGAAATCAGCCAAAACAAAATATGCTGGAAATCAGCCAAACAATAGTTGGAGGTATGGAGGAGATTATGCTGGAAATCAGCCAAAATAACAATATGCTGGAAATCAGCCAAACAATAGTTGGAAGTATGGAGGAGAGTATGCTGGAAATCAGCCAAATAATAGTAGGAGATATGGAGGAGGATATGGATTTTGAGATAAAATATGTAATAGATAATAAGTGTGAGAAAATTAAAGGTAAAGTAATAAAGTCTAAGATCTAAAGATTTGATGAAATGGGCCTAGAGATTAAGAAATATGGATAGAATTTTGTTCTATAAAGTGAAATAAAAATAGAGTTGTATTTAATTTGAAAATAAGATTTGTGGTGATAAAATGTAAGGTAAATAATTAGATTAAGAGGTTAGAATATTTTGTAAGATTAATGTTTTGATATTGAGGTTAAAAGATGTATTGAAGGGAGCTTGGGAAAGAACTAGATATAATTTGGATTTATAAATGGCTATAAAAATGAGTTAAGTTTATTTGGAAATTAAATGTGTGGTGATACAATAGAATAGTTTAGATTAAGATGTTAGAAGTCATATTAAAAAATTTTATGTTCTGATTTTTAATTTTAAAAGATGTAATGGGAAATTGTGAATGGAGCTTGTTAAAGAAATGTAAGCGATTGTACCTATCTATAACCGGATCGAGACTTCTTTCTTGAAAGATATATTTTATGTTTATGTTTGAAAAAATAAAAAATATTAAAAAAAAAAGTCTGTTGTAGTGGAAAGTTGTAAGTTACGGGTAGTCCTTTGTAAATGGTACCTGTTTCTGGGAGGCAGCCATGTGGCCTAGGGATGTCAAGGGACGGAGGGGCAGTCTTTCTTCCCTAATGCAATGTCCGAAGCTTTTCAGAGATCTTTAAAAGGTAAGTGCACAATGGGGGTTGGGGGGGGTGGCTGAGTAGGGGGACCTGCAGGATCTGGCGGGGTGGGAAGCAGGGTCCAAGACTTGTGGGGAGCTGGTGGCATGGGTTGTGGGGGAAGATAAGTGAGGTTGGTGGGGCTGTAGCATTCCTGCAGTCAGTCGTAAGGGCAAATGACCACAAGGAATGCTGCAGTGAATGTAACTTTGAAACCAGGTTGTAAGTAGCTATCCATTGCAACTTTGAGCAGTCGCTAAGCGGCCAGTCATAAGTTGAGGACTACTTGATGAAACAATTTCTTTCATTATTTGATCTATCTGAGCTCTTTCAATTCTGTAGGGAATATCTGAAAAAGAAACTGCTTTTCTCTTCTCCCGCACATTCCAGTTCTCAGTTCAGCATGTGGAAAGGAGCAAGATGAGGAGGGCAAGTTATTTTTCACATGTAACATGGAGATAATTTGGGCATTGCAAGTTCTGTGTCAATTGTTTTGGCGGGGGTGAGTTGCATTTGATCTGGTAAATGCATTGAAACATTTAAGTTATTTGCCGCTAGCTATGACAAATCTGTAGAATCATAAACCTTGGAAGATTGCAAATGCTTTATATTTTTGATGATTTCTTTTCAAAGAAAAACACGCCAAAGCAAGGGAAGGTCCTCTGGATCTAACTGTCCTAACAATTGGGGGTAAATTGTTTCAAATTCAGGTAGTTCAAAAACAATGCAGGGCATGGACTAGAAAAATTATTACTTTGAGCTGTTAAGAGTTATTGGAATAAGCTGTTAAGTAATTTGTAATCTATATCGATACGTGTATTGCACTACAAATGTCCCATTACAAAAGTTAAGAAAAAATATCTCAGATATGCAGTACTTAAGAATATTTAAAAGCAAAGTTGCATGCAGTTTTTAAGATAATGCATCCTGAAGACAAATATCCTATAGAAATAGGTAGATCTAAAGGTTATTCTGGGACTTTATTTGCAGCTAATAGGATTTTATGCATTAATTTCTACAAATTATGTCACCTTAAATGACATTTTCCTAGCACAGTGCCAATGTAAAGTACAAATCTCATCTTCCCCAATTGGCATAGCCGTATGTCTTCTGTCTGGGAATGGAAGGGAAGCCAGCATTTGGAGGCATAAAGAAAAGTTCATTATGTTGATCTTCCTGCAGCAGTTTATAACCTATACTCAATATGAATTTCAATCTAAGATAGCAAGAGAATTGGGTTACAAAGATAAAAAAAATGGACAGCAAAGGGATACAGAAAACCCACTCTCTGCTGCCATCTATGGGTTGTTCTGATAGCCCAATATACAGTACAGCGAAGCAGTGACAGCCACACAAGTATTTTGAGTTAATTATGTGGGTTCAGAAATTATGTTAGTCCCGTGATTTTCTTAACCACAGTTTACCAGATTAAGCCATAAATATGTCTAAGCATGGTTTACAGATCTCAGTGGATGGGTACTTCTAACCTATGGGAAGCCATCCACTTCCAGAAGAATGAAATATTTTGAGAAATATTAAAAAAGGCAGAATATTATATTTCCCTAAAGGAGAAATATGTTTTTAAAGGCAGAAAACAGCCCCCAAGTCTTTCTTAATAGCCCCAGCAGGACTGGGCCAGCCTATCTACAAGACAAAAGGCCTTCAACTCCAGGGTGATGGGATTAAGGCATGACCGTCCAGGACATAATAGGATTAATCCACTAGCAGCAGAGCTCACTACATTGCACAATCTCCTAAGAACATTGCATCAGAGTTCAAACTTCAACCAAACCTGAGAGCTGAGACAACCTACAGAGGTATGACACCTACAACAGCCAATAGAATACATGTTCTTGCACAGAAACAGGAAGTTCAAGTGCAAAGTCCAAGAAAAGGTATAACCCTCCCCCCCCTTAACTCCATGTGGTCAGCTACCCAGAATCACATGTGCTTGGTGGTTCTGCTTCACCATTAAACCATCTTTCCAATCAGCCTCCATCAGTGGTTGGTTTCAAAATTTTTTACTACCAGTTCTGTGGGCGTGGCTTGGTGGGCGTGACAGGGGAAGGATACTGTAAAATCTCCATTCCCACCCCACACCAGGGGAAGGTTACTGCAAAATCCCCATTTCCTCCTGATCAGCTGGGACTTTGGAAGCAGGGAATAGATGGGGTGGGGCCAGTCAGAATTTTTACTACCGGTTCTCCAAACTACTTAAAATGTCCGCTACTGGTTCTCCAGAACTGGTCAGAACCTGCTGAAACCCACCTCTGGCCTCCATGTTTCCAGTGTCTTTTTCCCGGCTTGGAACTGAACCAGATGGATAGTTCTTCCAACAAACCTAAACTAAAATCAAACATATTATGGCTTAATGTGATGTGTAAACCAAGCTTCACAGTAACTCTCACTTAATGCCAAACAACTGATCTAGCACATGCTATTCATTATACAATGGGAGGTGTATCCTGTTTTATTTTTTGTTCTCTCCTCTGTCACATCTGATTTTATTGTTGTGTTTCATTCTTTCTCTTGCTGGAATATTTTCTTTCCCAAAGAAAGTCATCTGGCACGATTATTTTGCTCCTTCCTTTTTCCTTAGGGCCAGTGATGGGCGCCTGTGGTTTCAGTCTAGCAAAAGCGTGCCCTGTCACAAAAGAGATTCTTCAGCTGAGAAAGATGGTTCTTCATCTTAAAGCCCTCAGCTGCTCATTGAAAGAGGTTCTGCCATGTGATCTTGTGACTGGACAGGAGGATGCCATCAACAGCTGACCTATCACAAGACCTAAAGGGGGAAAAGTCAAAGCAAGGCTAATTTGTTAGTGCACAGCTTCCTGCTCTTGATGTCTGGAAACATTCTGACTAATACAACAGAATGTTCTTGTAATCTGCCATAATACCATAAGCTAGAGGCCCGCAGACTTTGACCTCTCACAGGTATAATAATAAACTCTTTTCTTCAGCAGCACATGTTTTCTTGGTGGGGGATTTCTGTTTCCTCTAAAAATATATCCAAAGCATATGTTTTACCCAGAAACAAAGCATTTTATTCATTAGAGGAATCCTATAATCAGATTTCCTTTTAGGAGTCAGTGAAGGAAGAATGAAGGAGTTGGTATTGTTATCATACTGTAACAGTTCAGCTCCCTAATCTGAAGATTCTATTAAAATTATAGCAAAATTGTTCTCTAATGTACTTCAGATTAAAGGCTTTGTTAAACATATTTGATACACATGCTTTTTAAAATCCAGGTCTTTATGACTCAGGTATAAAATGCTCACAAACACATACTGCCACTACACTCTTCCTTTTTTTGCATCACCAACACTGTGCAAAATGCTGCAGGGAAATAATTAGTAAAGGTCCCTGTCCATGAGATAAGGAGAAGAAAATACAGTACTGTATAACTCAATCTAATTTCTACCAATACCATACCCTCAACATCTCCATAAGTTGCTTCTATCACATCCATACATCTCCTCATATATTATTTTTTTGGTTCTGAAATGTCTCACCCTTCTCTTTGGAGAATCTCATTAGCTCCTCAGTTATCCTTGACCCATTGACTCTTCCTTCATCGGTTTTGCAAATCACTCACCTATTCTCTCTATATGACAAAACCGCACCAATGCACTTTTTATACCAGTCACTCTCTTTTGTATTAAATCTGCATTAATTTAGCACTCATTCATTTTATCTGCCTAGAGTAGCCCCATGTCAAGATAGGCTGCAAAAATTTAATATTTTTTTTTAATTTATCACATGCAAACTAAAAAAGTAACTCATTCCAACTATATTTATCTTAGTTTTTGGCCCTCTTGATATACCCAACTCTCACTTCCATGAAACGGAATGGGCAAAAACACAATTCTATACATACTAATTTTTACTTCTTTCAACATTCATTCCTCATGATATATAAATGCTGTTCGTTATTTTGCACTTGTATGTCTTAAAATTTCTCCATACATGTTTCCCCTTTTAGTAAATATTCTACAAGATGTACATATTTCTTTTATCTACCCCACCACCCCATTTAGTTATAGGTTGCAATTGTTCATTTCATTTTCCTTGTCAGATAACCAGTGGCCTTTGATACTTTCAGAGCCATGCTCTTTGTTGCAACATACAATCTATCTAACATTTGCTGGAAATAATCCAAGTCCTCAGTCTACAACACAGCATCATATGCATATAAATGTACTTTCTTAAACAACCATAAGCCTCCTCGGAGGCAAATGACAAAAAGCATGTCATTATGTCATGACACAAATCCAGTGAATTAGCTAATTCAGTCTAGTTTGGTACAAAAATGTGAAGTTTCCATTATTATGTCACTGTATGCATGTTATTATTTTTGCATTCTCTTGTCTAGCTGTGCTATCTATGTAAACAAGGCACCACAAACATAATCAAAAGCACCCTTTATACATTTATTCATAAATACATTAAACAACCAAAGAAAATCACGTATTCTTGTCTTATGTCCCGCTCAATATTGACCCATATGTAAGGCATTCCATTTATTATCATGCATGGTTTACTTACATATTGCTCATTGCATTCAACAATCAATCTTCAACTATACACATACACAGCCTCACATTCATACATTACCTCCTGCAGAACAAAACCTGGTTTGTACACCCTCTGCACAACAAACATTGCATTTCTGAAATTGTACTCATTCTCACACTTTGTACCGTTTTGAACAACATTCTGCCAAACAAGCTCCCAGGTATGTTTAGCAAACTAACACTCCCCCATCCCCCCCACTATAATTGTTGTGTTCCTCTTTCTATTTGTATAGAGAACAATAGCTTTCTTTCAGTCGTGACGCACAGATGCAGTCTCCATACATATTTAACAAGTTACACAATCACTCCATAAGCAAACTACATCCATATTTGAATTGATCCAGATGCACTAGCTACATCTGAAACCTTACAGATTTTTTTTTTGATGTTTTACAACATTTATGTCTTCTTCTTTAGTCATTTTTGTTGGGTATTAATCTTTCCAGAGTTTGCTTCAATTCCGTTCTTCAATACATCACTAGAAGGCCAATACAAACTCCAAAACCATTTAGCATTGCCTCATTTTTCCCTCTCAAAACATTTATCACCCTTAATATGTATCCCATTCACTTTGCTGGAGGTTCCTTTTTTAGCCCTCTTCACCTGACTTTCCCAACAACATTTGATTTCCATTATTATGCATTTTTCCACCTCTTCTAATTCTTCCATGCTCTTTGACCACATTTCTCTCTATTATGTACTACTAGTATGTTTCACCCTCAATGAATATATATTTGTCATCCATAGTCTTTTCAAGTTATCAGTTATGAAGTCTTCTATTTCAGGTTTTCATAATTCTACCCATTTCTCTGGCATTCTATAACAGTGGTTCTCAACCTGTGGTCTATGGACCCCTGGGGGCTGTGATGTTGTCACAATGGGTCCATGAAGGCTTGAAAAAATGTTATGATTTAAATTTTGAGTTAAGTCTTTGGGAGCCCTGACCATGTTCCGTGGCCACAAAAGGTATTTAAAGGGGCTCTGTGATGAAGAAAAGGTTGAGAACCACTGCTCTATAACATTACTTTATTTTTTCCACCTGTTTGAAAACACCTTCTACACCTTCTTTTCTTATATCAACCTTCCATCCATCCTGTTAGGAGATTAATCTACTTTCTAACGCTTGTATCTCTTCCCACAGTGTTTTACTTTTCTTCCAGATTGTTTCACTTTTTTTCTGACTGCTCCACATTTAAAACATCTTTTGAAGATACAAATTTTTGTGGAACAGCTTCAATCTTGAAAGACATAACAAGCTTGGTTAACATTTACTTATTCTTAATACCTCATGCTACTACACAAGAGTTACTTCATGTAGATTAAATGTAATGCTAATTGAACTCTTACTGATTCTATCCTTATTGCAATGAAATTATAAGCCTTGCCTCCTTATTATTTAACTTCTAGGTTAATTGTATTGTTCAGACTCTGTCAAATAATATATTACATCCCAAAGGGCTGGCACACAGGCCCATCCCTATATTACTATATGCTACTAAGATACGTTTCATACTTTCTGAGCTACAACTCAGTCTTTCAGTCATAATTAAACCTACATCTTCATTTCCCTGCATGTGTTGATCGAGTCCACTGTATAAGATCCGGCCAACTTCATTCAGATCTATTATACTTGAGTCCATTTTTTAAAGTTTCACAGGTATATAATGCACTTATTTTTCTAAAAAATAAAACCCATTAATTAATTCATGCTTATCAACATTTATTCCTTTACATTCCAAATCACAATTTGGTATATGCCATAGTTTTTACCAGATGATATTGTGAATACTGGCTTCTATTGCCCAGCATGGCTTTGGTCGATGGGGACTTTCGCAGTGTTTTACTATTTACTACGTAGGTACAAAATGTTTTGCTTACTAAGATAGAAAAGGTGTGGCCTAGTTTGTGCCCATGTCAGATCAAATCAAAACTTTATTGAAGTCATTGACTAGAAAACCAACATCAGATCCAATACAAGAAATACTAATAAACTAATATTAAAAGGCTCAACTACTTCCATACATGAACAAGGTTAACTCTTGTTAACTCAAAATTTTTCTACAGCTTAGGCAACTTTAGGATTTTATCAGCTGTAATTTACGGCACATTAAATTTTTCAGTACAACTTGGAAGATTTTTAAAAAGTTGTATAAAAGGCCCACTCTAGAAAAAAAAAAACATATTCCATGGATTCAATGATACTTGATCTACGTGAGTACTGCGCCTTTGCAATCCTGGGATGTTTTAGAAGCTGCCTTCCAAGATGCCCCAATGGAGAGCTTTAAAGCAAGCCCTGGAAAAGGCCCATCTATAATTGGAGCATGTAACTGAGTACAAATGTTTTGCAGGTGTGAACAAAACCTCTGTATTTCTCTTAATGGTTGGGAGATCTTTTTCCTATGGCTTAACTTGTTTTGTAACTCTATATCTCCAATCTGTTCTCTAATTATTTCTTGGCCCTGCTTGTGCCACGACATGCTGCATTTGGTGTAAGGGCTGTGCAAGTAAGGACTGGCACATTTCAGCAATAACCAAAACCCAGTTTTACTCCATGCATACTCATGCTATTTTATGTAAGTCACGATTGCTCAGTGGAGACTACCCTGTATGTCAACATATTTGCCACTATCACGACATGTTGTTGTCAAAATCACATATACTTGCAGCATATCAAGACACAGTGTGTGTGCATACATGCCCTATGCATGCCACTAATGTGAAGAATTTTAACCTTTAGATGGAAGAGAAATGTGATTCTTTTCTCCTTAGTAAATCCACTGGTATTTTTCCTCAGAAATATGCCTCATATTTGACAGTTCATTATGTTGACTGATTATTGTATACAATTTGAGAAAACCTCAACAAATATTTGGAATTACTTAAATTATATAAAACTCATAAGCACTCCTAAAATAAACATACTTATGTATATTTTCTCCCCCCAAATATTGTAGTAGTATGTTTATTTTCATTATTTTAAAATAGAATATCTCACTGACTGTAGTCGGTAAGATATCCCTTTACCATGTTTATCCTTTAGCACATTTCAGAAGATTTTGATAAGTTATTTTCTAAACAATTCAAAACTCTCCCATGACTGCAGCTGGCCATTTCTTGGCAAATAGAACACACCAAGTGTCTACTAATACAACTTTCCTCAATCTCATAACTCAAAAGTTTGAAATGACAGCCTTCAGAATCTTCAGTCTGGCAGGAGTTTCTCAGTTGGGAATTCTGGCACTTGTCTTAGCCTGTCTGTGGAGCAAAGACTGGGAATGGTCAGACTCAAGTGTTTAAGTAAGGATTAAGTTCTTCATGAATTAATAGACTTTTTTTGACAACAACATAGAAATGGATTGTTCTTGTTTTCTTCTTGGTTGTGTCTTCATT